GTTTTTGAGGCATTTCTGATCACCTCCACCAAGGAGACTGCAGGTATGGTCTTACGACCATCTGACCAAAATGTTCACAGCTCCTTCCCTTGTGAGCTAAACCTGTATTGAAAAATCAGATGTCTGGTAACCCTTTACATTGTACTTCTCCAGTCTACAAGCAAAAAGTATCAGCAGAAGCCCACAGATTTAGAGATGTTCCCTGGTGACATAGGCTGGTTCAGCCCTTAGCTTATTTGAGCTGTGCTGATGGAGCCTGACACTCACGAAATACTGACAGTCACCAGTGGGAAATGAAGGTGCCTAATACACAGAAGCACTGCTGAATGTAATTTTGTTTTCAAAATATTTGCAGTTGTCATGGGTTTTGGGCCCAACATGACAACAAAGGACCAGCCCCATGGCTGCTCACTCAACTCCCCCCACACACACACTCTGGGATCAGGAGGACAAAGCTCCTGGGTCCAGACAAGGACAAGGATCTTCACTGATTGAGGTCCTGGGCAAAACAGACTCAACCTGGGGAAAAGTAATAATTTGATGTCACACTAATCACACACCCCCAGGACACAGACACACACACAGCAGGGCTTGCATGTGTAACCCCCCCTCCCTTCTTCCTGCCCAAATCCCTTTGTTCCTGGTTTCTCTCCCTCCTTCCCCCCAGCACAGGGGCATGGGGATGGGGTTTAGAGTCAGTTCACAGGCTGATGGGTCCTGCTGCTCCTTCCTCCTCAGGAAGAAGGATTCCTTACAGTATTCTCTGCTTCCCCATGGGGTCCCTCCCATGGCAGACTCTTCCACAAACCTCTCCTCCATGAGTCCTTCCCACCAGGTGCAGTCCGCTGGGAGCTGCTCCACCACGTTCCTCCATGGATGCAGGGGCACAGCTGCCATCTCACCATGGGCTGCAGGGAAACTTCTGCTCAGGCACCTTCTTCCTCTTCTTCCTCACCAACCAGCACCACTCTCCTTCCCCAGCACTGCTCTCTCCTCCAGCACAGCTCTTCTCCCTCCTTTTTCTCTGCTCAGGTGTTGTATCAGTTCTCTCATATGTTCATGGCAGAGGTTCATCTGTTGTCCCTCTGATGGCTCCTTGGCTGGTTTGGAGCAGGGGCAGCTTCTCAGCTTCTTACAGGAGCCACCCCTGGGGCCCTTCCCACTACCAAAAAACCCACCAAACCAGAGCAGCAGTTTATGCAGCTGCTGAACTAAAAGCTTCACATGTGGACAGTCACTAGTAAACACTAGATGTGCTTCTGTATACATCTTTCTCTTGGATGTTTGTGGATGAGTGAGTAGAAGAAATAGGGCATCTAGTTTTTGGAACTCCAAATTTGAAGGGGTAGTGTTTATATGAATCAGAAGTGCACACAGCCCATCAAACAAGTGGATGCTAGAGAAATGGAAAATCATTTCTTATACCCCACAGACATGACAATTTCAGGAAAGAAGTGCCTTTATATGTTGACAGGTTCATCCTTTTGAAGATGAGGTAATTATCTGTATGAGTTCACTCTGTGGCTTCTAGAACTGAGCGAGTATGATCAGCTCCTATGAAATGTCAGATGGCTCATCCCTGCAGCTGTGTATCAGAATAGAAGCTGATAGAGAAACCAGTTGTTCCTACTGCACTGGATCTGTGCTGATAGCTGATGTGTTCAGTGAGCCTGTTGCTTGGGATATCTGTCAGACCATCTGACAGCTCAAGGTTGGGGTGGCACATGGCAGCAGGGACTTGAAACCCACCAGCAATGGGAGTGGGGGAGCTGTGGGCCGAGTTCTCATTGAGACTCATGCTATGGGTGCCCTTTTCTGGGCCTTCTGCTTTGCTGCAGTGGTGTACAGAGGCTTTGCTGTGCACGAGGATCAGATCTGTGGACCTCACTGGCAGCACAGTTCAGCCTCAGGGAAGATAGAAATAAAAAAGGGTGACTTGTGCTTCAAGCTTTAATGCGCAAGAGACAAATGGAGTGAGAAGTTTAACAGGATCAACTGTTAGGTCACAAAGGCTGGACTTTTTCTATGGAAGCCAAGAAAGCCAAACACCTACCTCACAAGTCCAGGAATTCCTGATATGCTGTCTTTCAGACACTGAAACAGTGTGAAATGCAGTATTTTAGTGAGTTCAAATACCCACCTTCAGGAAAAGCCATGATGCACACACCTAGATTGTTGCTGACCAACGTGTCAGGGTGTGGGGAGGTTGTGAGTATAGGAAGCATTGCTACAAATGAAGTGATTTGTTTCCTAAAGACCTCATGAATATGTGGAGGCCTACTTTTATGACCTGTATGAAATAATTCATATTATTGTTTTAGTGGACGTAGCAGCTTTTTTGTGTAGGCTTTCTTATCCAGGACATGAAACACAAGTAGCAGTTAGAGGTGCTGCTAGTATAGCGAGAACGTGGCTCAGCAGTGCTTTTCTTCTGAAGTTTCAAACGTGTTTGTTTCCTAGTTGCTCAGCTGAAAACCAGGAGAGCCTGCGTCCGTGACACGTCAGACAGCTAGTGCTGGCAGCAGTCGTCAGCCACTGATGCATCTTCCTTTTCAACCATGTAGGTTTGGGACTGGTAGTAGCATGTCATGCAAATCAACAAACTGCCGGAGGATAAAAACCGTTGTGAAATCCTGTTAGAAAATATTCCTGACTGACAAGAACTCACACAGGTCAGGAGTGAGGATGAGATTGCCAGGCAGCAAAGGGAGTTGATTAGACAGCAGAAAAAAACCAAACGCCTAGGAAATCTAGGATTCACAATCACTTTTTAAAACCAAACCAAACTGAAATGGGGAAGGAGCAAGCATCTGGAAATTCGACTCCAGTAGCTGGCAGCAGCTGGAGTCAGATGTTCTGGCCAAATCCAGCAGTTCTTCACTAGTGCATAGGCAGAATGATTTTTTATCTCGGTGGATGTTTCTCCCAACAAGAGACTACAGAAATGGTTCCCAACCTAACATAAAAAAGAAGCTCTTTGAAAAGAGCTGAGGAAAACCTACAATGTATTTAGAGTTAAAATATGATCAGAAGTCAATGCAGAAAGTACATAAGGATCTTCATTCTTAAAGAATATGATAGGTTAATTTAAAAAACAGCATCACTTGGTGTGATACATTTGGATTTAGAGCAGCTGGAAGGGTTCTTACTGTGTTGAACCAAGCAATATAATCCCAATTATGGCATCAGTCAATGACAAGGCACCCACCATTGCTTAGGAAAGTTCAGAAAAAGTGGAGAGGCTGAAGAGCTTTTATGTTGAGGAAACATGACCACAATGAATGCCCTTCCTTGGGTGTAGCCAAGTTCAAAACTTGGTGTGGAGTCTGTGGCTTGTTTCTCCATGTCAGGCTTTAAAAAGACAAGGCTAGTGGTAGAAACCATTGGAGAGATTCATCTTTCCTCTTTGTGCTTAACTGAAAAGTTGCCATCCAAAAAGACTTCTGTGTGCTGTGGGTTCTTCAGTATTTATGGGCTGAATTCAGTTATTCCCCTCCAACCTGAGACATTGTATGAGTCAGTTACACCTGTATGTCATAGTGTATGACCAGGGTGCAAAAGGTCCAGCCTCAGGACCAGAAAGAGTGACTCTAGTGTAACTGGGCTGAAGGTTCGTGACTTGGACAGAAATCTGATGTGTTTGTGATTCGCAGATCTCGAAAAGGTTTAAGAATTTAAACACACAAATTTCTTCAGGGACACCTGTCAGGATTTGGGCTCTGTTTCAACAGCACAATTAAGTCCTCCTCTGATCAAGAAAAGCCACAGCATGAAATCCTCTCACACTGCAGTCAATAGGACTGTTTTGCCAGTCAAACTCAAGCAGAATCATCATGCTGAAATTTCCCACAGCATTTCTCATTAAAGTTGTAAGGCAAAACATTGGAAAAAAAATAAGTATCACATGTAAAAAATTCATCACTAGCAAAAGTTTTGGTAGAGTTGGCTTTATTTATGCGTTGGAAGGGAATTAATTTTTTATTTTTATCAGTTCTGAATCACTTATTCCAGTAATAATTAGAAGTAAATTAGAGTTATTCTTTTTGTTAGATCAATTATTCATAACACAGACCATTTAAAAATTACTTTAGTGGAAATTACTTACTTAATTTTTACTAAAACTGGAGAAGAAATTAGCCAAATTAGTTAAAATAGCTTTGAACTCCATATTGACTAAAGCATTTGTGCCAGAATAAAAATTCATGACATATAAGAATGGTATAAATGATTAATAATTTTAGTTTAGTTCATAGATATCTATATTTTTATTTAATTACATCTGTGCATAGCATAAACTGTCTGCATCTTGGGAATCCAAGCCAGAGAAGCTGAAGTGTCTTCTTATGTTTAACATTCACCATGTGTTGTTTTCTTCTAGGGTTAATTTGTAAAATGTAAACCACATACTATTTGTGTGCAGTGTTTATGGACTATTTATAGAAAGTCTTGACCATTTATAATTATCCGACATTTTTTTATCCATAATGTCTGCATATGACTAAAGAGATGTTTATGAAACAGACAAAACCATGTTATTTTTACAGTCAAACTTTATTTTTTGTGTAAAACTTTAGGGAGTATTTGATGCTACGTGGGCTAGAGAAGGGATATTCTCTACTCACATCACTTCCCTATCAAGAAGCCTAAAATTATTTCCAGTCATCAGCACAGTCCCCACAGGAGACTCTGTTGTTCATTTTAAGCAGCTCAGGAAAAGAAAGCTCAGTCTGAAACGACCAAAACTTGGTTTCTCAAAGCCACAAGGTCCAGCCCTGTATCTTGATCACTTAAAAATCATCTGAGTTTTCTAGCAATGATAACTCAAAGTCATCTTGATAGTTTCTGTGAGGTCACTTGTGACACCAGTGCAGCTCCTGTGTTCCACTCTGGGAACATTCTCTACTGAACGGTCCATACATACAAGCACCTCAGCAGCACACTTGGGCACTTTGATGGACTGTGTTATGGATGACAACTTTTTTCCCCTCCTTTCTTTCCAGAACTCTGGAAGTTTTGGTGAGCTTGAATGAAGGGCAATCTTTCATGTCCAGCACATTAACAATCACCGCTTCAGAGTGTGTAAGTAAATGGGTAACATCATTCACTGCAAAATCCTGACATTCAGTTTCTCTGAGTTTTACCATCATCACCTCTCAGTGCAGAGAATCTCAGTGCACGGCAAGTCCCATTAGATGTTTAGAATGCACAAACCTACCTAACTAACCTGTGCAGACGCATACAGAATATACATAATTTAATGATACAGGATTTCTTAGTATGTACATACATATCCCATCCCCCTGACCTCTGGGAGCAGCTGCTGGGCTGCCTTTGGGTAAGATCAGAACACTGGGACATCCCCAGCAAACACAGGAGTCTCTACAGAGTCATTTCAGTTCCAGTGTGTGTAACCCAGCCATGTTGATCAATCTGCACATGCTTTGCAGACAGTGAATGTATCATCCACAAGCACTTGTGTATCTGTTGCTTCAATCGATGACACTGTTCATTAATCTGGCTGTGAGAGTTCTTGAGCATGACCAAATTCCTGAGCGTGGTCGTCAGAATTCCCGGGATGGACAGTGCAGTGTTGGTGCATCCAGAATGGGGAGAGCCCTTCTGTGTGAACAGACCATTAACACCCAACTGGGAATCACTCGGAATCTCAGCCCAGCCACCCACAGCCCCTCTGACATCTGAGGGCAAGCTGGAACACAAGGGGGTTAAGTTTTCTGCCAAATAGATTTTGCCCCTTAATGCAACAATGACATAGGCAGGACAGTTAAATTTTTTGTGGTTAGATCACTGTGGTAGGGAGGGAGGTTTTGAAAATGTGGTGCCTACGGATAGTGCGTTTCTTTAAATTTGTGTGATGTAAAGTGTGACACTGGTGCAGCTTTCCTATCAGGCACAGAAGCACACAGAACAGCACCTTCTGCTCCTCAGCATGTATTTTTCCTGCAGCATTTTTACTGCTCCTAGGTAATGAACCTAAAAGAGAAAAACATGACATTCCTGTTATTCATTTAAAACCAAAACACTTGGGTAGCTGGAGAAGCAGTCATCTCAGTTACACCTTTGAGTTTCAGGAAGAAAGCCTGAATGAATGGAGAGCTGAGGCAACATGTGCTCCCCAAATCACACTGCTCTGTTGCAGGGCCTGTGTAACATTCAGAGGCATTTGTGTCTTACACCAAAGCACGTTGCAGCAGTGTCTCTTGGTGAGACAGTGCAAGGTCAGCACAGTCCCAGGAGGATGCTGGACACTACCAGCAGGCTCCTGTTCTCTTGCTCTTCATCCTTTCAGAGAAAGCAGAGCGTGTCAAGCCTGTCCCTGTGCCCCCTTAAAGATTGCCAAGATTGCATGGGTAGGTAAAAACACAGCATGGATGCTAAGCAGATCATACCAAAAGGCTGGGTGCAGCTGTCTCAGCTCTGCTGTGCTCTAACAGCGCTTCTCTGTGGTCAGAAGTTTTCACTAACAGGAAACAGAATCAGTACAGATGTGCATTGACAGGAAAAACTGACACTTCTGATCATCCTTTTTTTTTTTTTTTTTGCCTTTCATACATGTTGCAGCAAAGACAGCTCCACACAAGGAGAACTGCTGTTTCCATAGTAGCAGATGGGCAACTGCAAGAAATGGGTCACTGCTAGACTTGTTCCACTAATTCTGAGCGCTGAGCAGCTGACGGCTAGTTAGCATAGGAGAGTTACAAGTTACAGCCTCCCCTAGCAAGCACAGGTTGCTGCAGTGGAAACAAACAAACAAAAATGTTGCATCTAGGCACTGAGGCGTGCATCTTAGGTGGTTCCCCTAACTGCCTATGCCTCACTGCACCCACATGTACTTGGGATAAAGCTGCGTTTCACCTGCCATTTGCTATGGTGTATCTCCAGTACAACTTTTCTTACTTGGAGAGAATTATTCATGCTGTACTCCAGCATCTGGGATTCCCTGAGTGTTCCTCCTTTCCTTTTGCCCCAGCTGAAGTCTGAATAAATTCTGTTTTCATAAGGCCACTTGCATTTTTCTCAATGTTGTCCTAAACCAGCAAAGCAGCACAGAACACCAAGTGGAATAATAAAAAGCACCTACATGAATTGGCATCTGATCACCTCCTCCCTCTTTAGTGTTGATACATGATTAATTCTGACAGCAGCTCCTGGTAAAGCATCCTAGCTTACCTTCTACCTAACTCATGGAACTGAGGACACTTAGAACAGAAGGTGGCACTAAACTTGTGCCAAGTAGGAATTTGGCTAAGACACCCTTCTTGATCCTTTGTGGGGAACTTCTCCATTGGCAAGAATGGGATTCAGTTTGTGGGAACAGTTTGTCTGGGATTTGCATCAAGTCAGTAGGAAGCTGTTTTGGGGTTAGTGGAAAAACCAGGCAACAGTTCTTTGCAACATATACTGACACTGTATTTCTGCTGTCTTCACAGTCCAGTGGAGTAGCAGCTCTCATTGCTGTGCTTGTGCTTTTACTCTTGGCAGCACTTGGTCTGCTCTGGTGGTTCTGGCCCCTCTGCTGCAAAGTGGTGAGTAAAGACTGAGAAAAAGTGACTGGGTATGTGACTCATGATCAGAACTCATACCATGTTGGGAAACAGATACTGTAGGAAGTAGGTAAGGGACCAGCTTCAACGCTGTGGCCTGCACTCCTAGCTGTGCTGCTGGCTCTTGGGAACTGGCACAGACAGGAACCAGCACCAGCAGGCTGGTGTGCTGCTCACTGCCTTTCTACTGAGTGAGCATGTCTCACATTTCTGTGAAATCTTTGAGAATAGCATTTTTCTCTATGATTTGAAAGTTGTTGGCTATAATGGTCTGCAGATGTTATCCTGAAATCAAGGATAATTTTAAAAGTAGTATTACTGAAATGTGTGTTTGTAATCCATTATGGGTTCTCAGGTTGGAAATCCCTTATTGTCTTAATAATCCCTTGCACACGATGCATCTCTTTTCATCTGAGTACACTCTTCATCCTTCTAACAGCAGGCAGCAATGCTGTTTCACTAACTCTCCTTCCAGCTTCTTGTGTGTTGGGGTTTTTTAATTGGTGAAGTTTATTATTCATCCAATTAACAACAGTGCTGAGAACCTGGGAAGCAGAGATTGCTTCCAGGCTGTTACTCTATTTCTGGTCTTGTGGAACCTGGGGCAGGTTCCCTACAGCAGAACCTACAGCAGAAAAACTAGCCTTCTCACCTGGCCATGCCAAAGCCCACAAAATCAAACGTTTTGGTGTAGTCTTGTCAGGCCCCTGACTATCCTAGGACAGGGGTTTCTGAGATAAGAACTGTGAGCTCTTCTCTCATAAACAGATTCCCTCGTGTCTCCTTCTCCACAGTACAGGCCCATCAGAAATCCAGGGCAGTTGTCCATTAGTCATTTGCTTCAACTTTATGTCATAAACCTTCCTGTGGAAAGGAAAAATTCGAACGCACCAACAAGAAAGCTTCTTATTTTCTTATTTTCAAATAATTGGTTAACCTTGATTCATAGACCATCTTCGTACTTCTTAGTTTCTACACTTTCTTTCTGTAGAAAGCAGCTTTGGCCAGGCATTTCACATAGGTCTGTCATCTGGGGCAGGGTGAGAGGGAGGTGCTGGTAAAAAGGAACAATCTTGTGTTTCAAAGTCTAATTATTTTTAAAATATGCATGTAAAATATAATTTAAACCCTTAAATGGAGGCAGGTAACTTTTTTTCAGTGTCTCCTGTCAGCTCCGAATGGCCACACTTTGGAGTGAGTTGTTTCACTGCTTGTTCATAGTAGTTGAGAGGGATCATCACATCCCTTCCCAAGAGCTGCTTTTCTGAAAGCAGCTGCTTGTCTTTTGTTCTCTTCCTGACTTCTCAAGGTTTACTTGGTTTTCATCAAGACAAACACACTTCCTCTTCTGTTGACTGATAGCAGGAAACCTAACATTCCTTTAGTTTGTTGAAGCCCTCAGAATGAGTTACTTCACTAACACTCTGCTTTTTGTCACCAGCTGAGCACGACTGTCAGAACATAATCCCCACGTCTTTATCTCAGCCCAGAAACAGCCTTTTGCTGTTGGAAGTGTAATGGATTGCACATGCATTTTAATAATTTTCCAAGTGGATGATTTTTTTTTTTTTCCAGCATCAGGTTTACAAAACTCAGCTAAAAAATCCAAGTGCTTTTCACGTTGGCCAGTGCTCAGGAGTCAGTGCTTGCCAGGGGTCAGTTTGCATGGCACAGTAAAACTTCATCTACCATGCATTTTCTCTTCATTACAGTGAAACGATTCAGTCCCTTGAGAGCAGGAATTGTCTTTCCAGTGATACCTCTGTCATGACAATCAGTAAGATGTGTCCTGGATTTTTTTATATCCAAGTCCTACATTAAAAATAAGCCAAATGTATAGTTCTGTAGTATTGATTTCCATCCCTTTTGGTAGCTATACCTGTAAAATACACTGAAATACCATTTGTACCAGCCTGTGCCTCTTACAAGTGGAAGGAATCCAGTTGGCATTACAGGTGTACATCGACACATCGTGTAGAGCTGTAGAGGGACACTTAAGCTAGGACCCAATTAATTAAAGCAGATGCTTCTTCTAATGAATTGCAGAGCAAAGATACTACCTTGGAGGCCAAAGATGCATTAAGGCAGGGTTCTGTCTGGGCTGATGTCTGGTATGGAGGAGGTACATCTCCAGAGAGCTGCACTGAGCTGTGAGAAAATGTCCCTCTGTTCTGATGCACCCTGTGCTTAAGTCTGTTCTGCTGTTTACTTTAACCTTACCCTGACCATCTCATCTGGATATAGGAGGAATTGCTTCCTTCTAGTCTTAAGCTGTAAATTGTTACTACTAAGGAGCAGCCTGGCTTCTACAGGAGCAATAAAACCATGGCATTTTAAATGCTAGTGCCCTCTGTTGTTTCCTCCCACCTCTCATGGGTATTGCTCGTTTCTTTAAAAAGAAAACATTATTTTAGGGCTTTGCTACAACAATATAGAGTTCCAAACCCAGGTACTTTTGTACTGAACATTGTACTGCCTCTTCCTTTCTTTTTGTTTTGATGTCCTCAGACATCAAAGTGTGTGCTTCCATGCTTTGCCCTCTCTCCTGCACCTCAAGTTCTCAAGTCAAATGTTACTGCCATGTCTCGCTTTGGTGCCAGTGTCCTTGACATGAGGCATCGTAGGGCCAGGACCTGCTCTGCCCTTCCTCTGACTCCCTGGCAGAGTGGATTGTCTGGTTTCATGGGACAAAGAACAGGAGGCAGGGAAGAAAGCAGCAGCCCTCAAACCTTGCAAGCATCCCACACTTCAGCATCAAACAGAAAAGAGGGAGGCAAAGGGTGTTGGACTCATCAGAACAAGCATCCAGAGCCACGTGAGCACAAATTCCCACTGCCTGCAGGCCGTGGTGAGCTTCAGGTGGTTCAGGTCCTCCACCTCATCCTTGCTAGGAATTGGTCTTGACAGCATTCCTTGCTATGTGAGGTCCATGTGCACTTTCAGGTTGGGGTAGGGAGACTCCTTTTTCTTCTTCTGCCCCCCCCCAACCTCTTCTTTTTAAAGGCAGTTCACTGTTGACAGTTCTTTCACTCTTCCCTCAATATCAGAACATATGATCGCATCAAGCTGGCTTCAGGCTCTGGTGCTGACATTTCCTAATGCCCACATCACGGGAACATTTGAAAAGTGTTAATGAGCAGATCAAAAGGACTGTTGCCTGAAGCAACTCTTTTTTTTTTTTTCCTGAAGAAATCGGCTCTCCTCCAAACTCAAGTCTTCCTTCTTCACAAGTAAATAAATGAGATGCAGCCTTGCCTGCTGATGATGCTAATAAAACACAACGAAATTAGGATGTAAACCATCTCGACATGGGATTAATAAGACAGAAGCATTATTCAGAGTATTCCATATTTAAGCAATCTGAATCAAACACAGAAGACTTGCAAGATTTGAGCTTCAGTATGTGCAGTTCCATGCTACATTTGCATTGTTTTCTGCCAAAGCTGCAAGGGTCCCTCAGATTTATCCTTTCTCAAAATGCCTTTCTACTGATTTCAGTTGAAATATCACACAAGACTGAAAAATCTTTGTGTGTGTGAGAGAGAGAGAGTGTGTGAGGAGATTGTGGAAACATAAGGATACAGGCATTTACATTCCACTTCTGTCAGCAGGGGTGAGTATCTGCTACTCAAAGCAGACTATTTTCTCACACCACAGTCACATTTAAAACAAGATTCATTTTCTGAAGCTATTAGAAATAGCAGCTAATTAATGTATTGGTTAGCTTCAAATCAAGTTTACCCTGTAACTTCAGGGAGTTTAGCAGCTGGTGTAGGTTTAGATCCTTTTGCTCAGGAAGTCAAACAAGAGCTGTCATTCAGTTGTGACTTTTGAAGCCCAGTGAGGTCCAACCAGTAGCATTTTTCTTGGTTCACTGGGGTAGAAATTTTGATTCAGTAAATACCAACAGGCACAGTGCCTGAGCAAACTTTGGTAGGTGTCACAAAGCAGTTTAGTGTGCAAAGTTGTCTTTGCTTGGGAGAGATTGCAAGACTTAAGAATAGCAGAGCTATAGAAAGTGGAGTGATAATACTGTTTAATATGTATTTATATAAATCTGCAACCTAGCTAGGCCTTTTTTCCCCTGTGCAGCTTGCAGTCTTGGCAACAAAATACATTTTTTGAGATAATCATTAGAAACAGGCAAAAGGGAAATAAGAATGGGAATTAAATAAGATAAGGTGACCCCTAATACATTGAAAGTCCTGGTTTACCGTTTCCAGCCTTTTTAATTGCTTTCAGTAAGAGTTAAATGTCTTCCTGCTTTGGAAAATCTTGCCCAGCATCCAAATATCTCTCAGAATCTGTCCCACAATCCCTCTGTGTTGTTATTTCTTGTAAAGTTAGGGCAGTAATTCCAATCTGGCACTCAGGAATGTTTCACTAATTAAATAATTGATTTTTGTTAATATGCTGAAAATTCCTGATGGGTGGGAAGAAAAGGTATTCAGAATTATTTTTTTAAAAAGGCATTTCTAGCAACATCATAGCAGCTAAGGTGTCTGGTTAAAATCCACAGCTGACCTTCCAGTCCACTCGAAGTACTCTGAGCTTGCTTGATGAACAATTCAGCATCTTCAACCTGAAGCACTGTGTAGAAATGTTTCCAAGGGTGCCAGAACTTCTCTTACTTGTTAGAATTCCTGTGTCCAGTGTGAAAGCCCGTAGCTTGTTTAGGCAGTAACCAGTAAACATCTTGGTAGCACTGTGACTTGAAATGTAAATCCAGAAGAAATACCCTTGAGTATTTGTCCAGAAAAATGTTTCTTCTGTGTATGATTCTATACATCTGTGAGGTGACATTATTTATAGGCAGTGGTAGAGTAAATGAAAGTACTATAACTAATAGCATGGAGTGAATACGATATTTCAATTAAGGTACTTAATCATGTATGAAGAGATTTAGGTGTTTCTCATCGTGGACACTTTTGGTTATGCTTGTGTAACACTAAGGCATAGCAGAAACAGACTCCTTTATATTCATGGGGTATTTTTTAGTAATTTCTAGACAACAATCAAGCATAAAAAAAAATCACTTGATATCACCGAAGTGCTTCTTTTTAACTTCCAAACCTGCTTTTCTTGAGGAAGAACGGTTGTGCATTCAGTTTGCATCTCAATCATTTAAAGGGGTGGCTGCCTTCCTCTTCCCCTCCCTGTCAAGTTCAGTGGATTCCTGTCAGTACCTGGGAACTCTCCAAGACTCACAATATATGTGAGAAATGGAACAGGAAGGAACTGCAGGCAGAGGTTTCAATATAGGTGTCAGTGTGTTCTCCTAAGAGTGAGCCCTCTCCAGGAACAGTTTCAGAAGCCTTGTGAATGTATCTCCTGCTTGCAGGCAGTCCATGCTGAGCAGTCAAGGACCTACATACTTAAATTATTAGATCTGAAATGTGAGACCTGCAGAAATGATCTGGATGTCTAGAGGTGAAGCCTGAGCTACCAAAAAGCATTTCACACTTGTCACTGGGCCAGGAATTATCCAGCAGCATGGCACAAGGAAGCAGGCCCAGGACTGTGCAAGACCTCTCGTAGGCCTTGGGAGTTTACTAATTAACTCCATAGGGTTTAATCAGTAGCTATTACTTAGAGTGACTGAGTTTTATCCGGTCAGGAAGCAGAGTGGCAGGCATGTCTGCCTAAAGAGTGTCTGCCAGTCAATTGATGTTATTTTCTATTAGGACGGGTGGTGTTAATTTCCAGAAGGCCTTGATAATCAATACCCAAGGGGCTTAGCAGCAGTGGTTGCCAATTTGCAAGCAGATGTGGGGGACTCAGCTAGAAACAGTTCACTCTTAAACATTATCTGTTGGCTTTTGGATGCTGTCAGTTCAATCACTTATGCTTTTCTATGTTTGTCTTTTTCAGGTCATCAAAGATCCCCCTCCACCTCCATCAGCTCCAAAAGAGGTACAGCACCACAGTGCTCTGCTCGTCACTCTGGTGACATGACCCCACTCCTCTCTGCTTCCCTGTGCTCTGCCAGTCTGGCTCTTTGTCCAAGCTGCTGAGCAAGAAGCCCCATGGGAAGCCTTAAGATGAGAGCAGGATGGCCCAAGTCCAAATATCTGTTCTGTCTCAGTCATATCCGTGGGGCACGAATTAAACCTGAATCCACAGAAATATTTAGGGGCTTTATCCCAAGATAATTGAACATTATTCTTCCCATTCTGCAGCCAAAAGACCAAGCTCTTGTGTAACAGTCAAAAAGAACCCCTATAATGGAATTTCTCTCCCTCTTCTGGGCCATCATGCACTAGAGGATCTGCTGGTGTCCTCACTATTTGCCCCTTGGTCTTGATGTAGCCAATTGCTTGAGCATGCTCAGGTGTACTCTGAGAGCTCATGGTCAGGCATGCTGTGCTGAGCTGAGGCAGCCACCAGCCAGTTAAGACACAGGCTGGCTCAGGACACTGCCCCTTGGCTGGGTAACCTTTATCTGCAGAGCTGCTGAACACCAGCTGCTGGATCCAGAGGAACAGGGCTGATGGCTCTTGGCAGATGTTGCATCTTCTGTAGAAGCCAGTGCAAATCCTTTTATTATGTCTGTTTTTCTTCTTTTTTATTAGTGAAAAGGAAAAGGACAAGGCAAACAAATAGATTGTCAGTAGAATGCACAGGTAGATTCCTCATTTGGACTTTCCTAATGGTCACCACTGATGCTTTTTCCCATGCAAAACATAAAACAATATTTCCTAACATGACCAGATCCTGTTTGGAAATTTGCTAACACTTGGGGAACTTAAACATCTGATCCTTCACACCTAACATGGGAAAACTCTGTGAACTCTAGTGCTAAATATACTAAAAAAGACACTGTGTGTGTGTGTGAAAAGTATCTTTCTAAAGAAAATGTTATTTCAATTTATTGACAGGAAGAAGAACTAGACCCCTTGCCTACCAAGAAATGGCCCACAGTGGATGCTTCCTACTATGGTGGCCGAGGAGTTGGAGGAATTAAAAGGATGGAGGTCAGTAGGGTGTGGAGATTTCAGGTCACTGAAACACAAGGTCTCTGAGGCTGAAAAGGGTGCAAACAAAGACTTTTAAAGTGTACTGAAAATACCAGGGCATAACGTGCACTTCCTTCCCAGTGACACAAGCCTTGTAAAAATTTTTTACTGTATTGAACAATTTTGACCTTGTCTATGAAAGAACAGCTTTCAGTGGTTCCATTTGACTGGGACTTTAAATAGCTGTCTGAAGACATGCCCTTTCCATCAAGCTAATGAGAGAGTGAGAACCTTTTCTGAATGTTTTGGAAGAAATTACAGTGAAACATAAGTCCTCCAACTGTAGGCCAGCCAAATGCACTGACAATGGTGATGCTAAGGAGAGGCTTGATCCCAAAGGAACTCACAGCAACAACAGTGCCTGTCTTTGAAGAGACACGATAGCACCATGTTAAATAAAACAGAATGAAAAATGTGCATCCTTATGGGCACCTCCTTATGTCAGGTTTTATACTCAAGTCAGCCTTTATGGGATCTGCAAAGCAGTTCTCTGCAGTTTTCAACTTCAGTCAAGGAAATTGTCTCTGTCTGAGATGTCCCACCTAGGCCATATTGATGTGTCTTGATGAAACTTTAAAGGTACTGGCTTAAAAATCAGCTTTGCTTGAGTTCTTTCTGAACAGAGCAGAACATGCAAGTTTAAAGCTATGTTGCTTGTGTGTGTTTCCTTCTGCAGTTTGGAATTGCTGATTGAGAAGTGCATCAGAGTTTAGAAAAAGATTTGGTGCTGTGCTTTTCAGAAACTAACTAGAAAATACATTCTAACATAGAGAATTACAAGCCTGGATTTCTAATGGGAGCCAGGAGGAGTTTCAGGGTTCAAATCATTACTTTGAGAATGAGAATCTCGCTCAATGAATGAGATCTTGCTCAATAAGATAGCAAACCAATAGATACCTCATAAACACAAGTAACATCAGTGCAATAAAGAAATGCATGTTCATAACATGGCAAAAATACAGTATTTCCTCTTGAAAGAAGAACGCAGCAAGTAATCATTAGGTTAGAAAAAATTTTCATCTGTGCTAGAAATTTTATGCAGTACTAAGGGCTAAAGATGTAAACCTGCTGACAGCACAATCCCAGGCATTTGAAAGGCATCTTGCTCTGAGAGTTGTCTCTCTGTCCTTCTCTGAGACCTTAGAGTACTAACCAATTTGGGGGTTGGTTACACACATTGTAACAAGATGATAAAGGTGAGCAGATGAAAGAGAGGTTACTCCTTACCCACCACTTACATGTGGTGTACATTTCTTCCCTGTTTTCAGTTCGAGGGGTCGTGCAGCTGTCAATGTTTTATTGCTCCACTGTGCTCTATTCTTCTGCCACTCTTCTGGCAGCTTGATTTTTCCAGCAGCATTGAGAAAAGGAAAGAAAGAACCAGTAACTTCCACTTGCTGCTCTTGTCCTGCTTCACTTACTGTATTCTCTTTCGGGGCAGCAACACATTCACTCCTGCCTTCCCCATCAGCCTCTGCAACAGTCCAGAACAATTTACCCAGTGTTGTTCACTCTTCCTATATCTGTCTTTTAGCATTGCTTTGAAGTTTTATGATGTCATTTTTAGACCTCATCCTTTACAGGCAGTAAGGTTTTATGTCAGAGCTGCATTCTAAGACTCCAGAAATTCTTGTTTCTTCTGGGTGAAGTTGCTTTAATCTGAAGAAGGTAATTTTACCAGGAAAGAATCCACCCTCTATCTCTAAATGGTTTTAACAGTGTTTAAAATACATTCTAATAACCTCATAAAAAACACCATAAAAGTACCATGGATCACACTGAAAGATACAGATGCATTTTAATGACTCAGCAGGGCCTACTTGGCCATGAAAGCCCATTCCAACATTGCAGAGACAGGACTCAAAACAATCCCCCTCCTAAGAAACGATGGTGTTTCCTTCTCCCATCCTATGGCATAGTTATCCTGGCACATTATAGTGTCCCTAGCCAGACCTGGAGCTGTCTTCTCCCTCCAGGGAGCAGAAGGAAGAGCAGAGCCATGTTTTTTTCCTGGTAAGCAAAAGGATTTTGTGCCCCTTTGCAGTGAGAGTTGTTGCATTCCACTGTCTTTCTGCCTGCTTTTCAAGTACTTGCACTGGAAGGCAGCAAGACAGAACTGACATGTAACTAACTACCAAGCAGTCATGCTCTTCATTCTTTCCTTCAGGGTGGAAGGTCAGTCTTCTCTGATTTTTTCTTACTTGGATTCTTCTCTTTTCATGCCTGGCATCTCCAGTCAGGAGGTCCCTGAAAAAAACCAAACAAGTGTGTTGGTGGAGTCCTGCAGTAATACTTGGCTATTTTGCAGTAACACTTTCATGACTCAGCAGCATGTCACAGTTACCCATGATCTAATGTCGGGATTTAATTTCCTGGGTTTAGGTGTATCAGGCCCTCCTGAACAGGCTGTATGATGACATGATTGAGAAAGTCATGTGTGATGCACAGTAGAATTTTCTTGCAGTGTTTCTCTTGATGTTTTGCTAACAAAAGGCTCATATTTACAAATGTATTTAACTAACACATTTTGCTAGTAAGAGGCTCATATTTACAAATGTATTTAACTAACAATGTTTGTCATAAAAAATTAAGATGGAGCATTTTCCTCAGTGCCCCCCTTCTTGTTTTTTCAGAACCTCTTCGAAATTTAACATTTTTTCAGCTACTTGTGTTATTTGCAACAGTTTCTTTGTCCTCTGCATTTACATCTCTGGCTCTTCTTAGGTTCGCTGGGGTGATAAAGGATCAACTGAAGAAGGGGCAAGATTAGAAAAAGCAAAAAATGCTGTGGTGAAACTCCCAGAAGAACCAGAAGAACCTTTCCACCCCAAACCACCTAAACCAAAGCCTACCTCACCAGCCATTCAGGAGAAGTGGTACACACCAATTAAGGTAATCTTTTTAGTCTTCAGTACAAGACAATTGGATTTTGTCTGCTTTACCAGACCTAGGCATGCTGAAATGTACATTGGTTTTTAAGTACTCCCTTTCAGGTGTAAGGTACTGTTCACACCTACTGAGGGTGAACAGCAGGAACAGTTCTTAGCCCTACACCCAGTACTTCTTAATTACTGCCACACTGTATTTCTTTCCCCAAAAAGGGCACATATCCTACAGTAAGAGTACTAATATCTTTGGGGGCTTTATTGGCATTTGTTCTATCTCAATGTATATCTAGTTAAGCCTGAAGCTACAAAGTTTGTTGCTAAGTTTTTAACACACATACTCATTACCAACCAAGCAAAGCAAAAATATTTAAAATGGTATAATGCAAAAAATCTGACAAACGAGCAAACCTTAATAAACAGCATAAAATACAGACATTTTCTTCTGTAAAAGCCTAGAGTTGCTTGCATACTTGTAACAAGCTCCTCTTAAAAACTGAAAATGAGTCCATAAATGTCTTGCTTTAAATGTGTAAGAGCAGAGAATACAGACATCTCGCTGGGAGTACAGATATTCTGTTCTCACAGCTCACTTCTAACCAGCAGTAGTCCTGAAGAGGGTTGTCCACCCAGGCCTGCAAACCCTGCAAGCCACCCATGCAGAGCAGGACACTTCTGCCAGGCACCAGAGCTGCTGTGCACGTTCTGCATGGGCAGCCTGGGCACTGGCAGCAAAGCTCCTGCATTCCCTGCAGGCAGGACCGACTGTGCAGCACAAGCAGCTCTACACCTCGTGCCTAGCAGGGCCCAGGCTTCCTGGGAACTACGAACTTGCTGTATACAGGCTGTAAAAACAAATGCATTTATGTGGGAGGAATCCCAGCTGGACATGTGGCCATTCAGCCCAAAATATTGGCCACTAAACACACTCCTGCAGGGTGGGGTGGGTCTCAGGCAGGCTGCTCGGTGCCGTGGCTGGGACTGCACTGGGGATGCAGCCTGAGGGTGTACTTGGCTTCTCCACCTCTAAGGAACTGCTGCTCATTTCCACCACGGATCTCCGTGGTCAGTAGCAGAGCAAGCCTGGTGTGCTCAGCTGCTTTTGCTGGACCAAGTCTTTTTGCTCTGTTGCCACAGGGTCGCCTGGACGCGCTGTGGGCGCTGTTACGACGCCAGTATGACAGAGTCTCTTTGATGCGACCACAGCAGGGAGATGAGGTTTGTGTGTGGTGTGTGTGTCTGCTCTGGTGGGTGGGAATGGGGCAGCTAAACACTGGGAATTCTCTGACCTCAACTAAGAAAGCACTGCAGCCCAAAGAATGGCACAACAGGAAAAATAAGGTGATGGAGGGAAAAAAAAGTGTGTGAAAAGATGCATCACGCCAGAAATGTTGCAGAACCTTGGATCTTCTGAAAGCAGAGCAAAGGATCTGTCTTCTCTGTGTGTTCAGCTGGAAAACAAAAGCAGCACACACTTCATTCAGTGCAAACTGTCTGTAACAAATACCGAAATCTTGCCTATAACCAGCTCTTTGTAAGAGCCTGGCAATCAGAATACTAAAACCACATAAAATTTAAGTGACCATGAATTACTTGCAGGCAAACTGCTTCACTTAGCTCTGTACTTCCATGCCAAAAGCAGCCTGCCCAGAATAAAATAAAGGTGAGGAAACCTCTTTCTCAGACAATTCTAGTACACTCATGACCCATGAAAAGTGGCCTCTGCTACGACTGGGAAGCACAGTATTAGAACCTTTGGTAGTGAAGCTAGATGGTGTATTTCTGATTGTTATTCCTTCAGAAGGTATTATTTTAAATCTTAGCATTTATCTCAGGAATTGACTTATCAAGGTATTTCACATCTACTGGGACCATTCAACCTCCTGCTTGTGGCACATCAGAAAAGACATAGGAGTGAACAATGTCCTCTAAATGAGATGGCAACCTTTTTCTCAACAGACCAGCCCAAGATGGGTGTGACAGATCAATTTTCTGGTACCACAAAGCAGCAAGAACACTCTTTGCAACACACAACAGAAAGATGACATTAAATAATTAGAGGGAGTAAAGGGAGAGGGTTACTTTTGAGAGAATGAGAGGTTAGGTGATATTTAGATTATTTCCCTGGTATGAAGTTTCATTCTGTTCTATACGAAGAAAAGGTGAGATTTCATTAAGAGAAGGACAGTTTTGGAAGAAGCAGAATGACAAAATGCAACACTGGAGATAGGGGGCATAGTCAAATACTACTGTTAGAATGCTGGCTGTCATGTCAGCACATCATTTACTCTTTACATGAAAGATGCAGAGTAACAATTGCAGAATTAACAGTAACAAATCTACATACAAAATATACAGTACAATGCAGTTTAACAGGTAAATTCAATGGAAATAGCAACACAGAAGAAATGGTGTCTAAACAAGCTATAAAATTGCCAGTCAGGCCCTGCTTTGAGTATTTCTGACCATCAAGACAGATGCAGACATCAAGTTTGCAGTTACTGCAAACCTTGCCTGCCAGGGAAGGCTTTGCTGAGCCATTGGAAAGTCAGGTGTGCATCTTCTCTGGACTTGACGGGGAGACACTGTCCAACATCTTGGTTTATGAAAACCATGGGAAGCTCACATTGTCAGTGTCCCACTGAAAAAAGGAATAGAATTTGTACTGATGAATGAAATCCAAACCAATGGTTGTTAAGGTGTGACCTGACAGTGTGGGAGTGCAGTTTCTTTCTGGCATAGTATTTTATATCTTGGTGAAAAAAAATTATTGCTGTTTGTTAACTTGCTGGGTAGAGATCCCAGGCTGTACCCCTGATGGGGTGACAAGATAAGCAGTCACCTGTATGTACAGCGAGACACACACACACTCTTCTTAAGCACTGCTACAGTAAATAGCAGGCACATTGTTTTGGTTTGTCATCTTTCTTTTTTTAAGAACTTAGTCGTTGCCATTTGTAGAAGAACTAATTGCTGAATTCAAGTCCTTGATCAAGTAATTGAAGTTTAGGCATGAAGTATCAAAGCAGAGCGAGCCGTTTCTTCCTTTCCTCACTTCTCTCCCACCTCTGCCATGTTGCCAGATAATGCCAAGGGTGGCCCAGCTTGAGGGCCACACGTGGTTGAGCCAGGAAGCTTTGATTGTGGCTGGAAGTCCTCTGAGTCATAAATTTTTCAGCTAGCAATCCGTGAGGTTAGGGAAGCTTGTACAGGTGTGAGCTAGCAGGTTGTTGCTGACATCTGTTCAGTGTGGAGGCCTGGGTCCTGGGCAGCCTGCAGCGAGGCTGCAGGACTGTCAGCAGATGTAGTGAAGAGTGGCAGAACAGTTTTGGTCTCACATTTGCTGCCTGGGGGCTGAAAGACTAAAGGTAGAGTGGGGGTGGACACAGCTGTGCTCCCAAACATGCCTCAGGCACAAATAAAGAGATCTAATATAGTTTGACTCTGTTGTGGTGGGGAGATGAGGACAGAGAGCCACTTCAGAGACAACTTCACGCTGCAACAGCTGCCACCAAGTTTCCAGGGAGTGACAGGGGACAGCAGGTACACATCGAAGTCCCCACATAAACAGCCTCCATTAAGCCATGAACTCTTTTGAAGGGCTCCCATCAAACACTGTGGGGTCCACAGCAGGAGATTTTGTTTTCAAAGCCGTGTTTTGTTTTGTTTTCTGCATTAACAAGATCATTTATAAATGATGCATTACCCTGCGTTCGTACTCCTATTTATTCCTTTTTAATTACAAGGGCAAGGAAGAACCACAGTAGTTTTGGGGTCCTTTGATGAACCAGTTACCTGTCCGAGGGTTTTCAGTGAGGTTATGACACAGTGCAGTGTTCTGTGCAGCTGGGCATCAGCACAGACCCTGGCACGGGTTCTCAATGCGAGCATTAGGTCCTGTTCTCTTCTCTAAATCCTTGTGTTTATTTTCTGATTCATAGTTTAGCACCTTAAGGTAATAATCAGGGTTTTTCAAATTCTTTATATGACCTTGTTGCTTTGTGAAATTTGTTAGTGGCTCAGATTTGCATCCTGTGAACACTGATGCACATAAATGTGTTTTTAGCCCACAAACAGCCTATGGCACTTGCATTTAAGATTCTGCCCTATCAGGATGCAGACATTTGTGTCTGGTAAAAGAAAAAAAACCAACCATTCTAGAAGGATTTCTATACTAGAACTATACAATACTTTTTTGATGTTACAATATGGCCTAATAAAAAAGGAAGACACTTTCTTTTAAAACTTGGACTCTATTAGCATTTACCTGCTTGAAAGATTCTTTTATAATAATGGCTGCAGAATTAATACAAACATCTGTTTAAACTTGTAAGCATCCCTACATCATACAAAATAATTCTATTCTGCATTGTAAGTCTGTTAACATCACACAATTTACAGTTAGAATCACTTTGACAATATTATATTATCTGAGATCAGGCCCATGTGTTTCTTCAGTAATTCCTCTGCTGGGCAAAGCGTTGGATGATACAAAATCATTAGCAGAGTCTGTCAAGTGTAGAGTGGAACAGTAATTGTTAGAAGGTTGAGAGAGAGAAAACCTGTTTGGAAGCAAAAGACTTAACTGCAGTGCCCGAGGAGTCCCCTGGCTGTGGGTTCCCACAGTGCCTGCCCCTGCAGCAGAGCTGCCAGCACTGTTCCCAGTGTTTGCCCACATGGTGATTGATGGCAGCAGGAACCAGACTGGTGATAGCAACATTTTTTGGTTTACTTGTGTATTCTCTAAAAATAAGCACTGTTGGTTGATTCTCCAACCAAGGAGGACCTCCTTCAAGAAAATGAAGGTGATTTGGCTTCTTTTTTAAATCACTGCCAGTTGTTGAAATGTGTAGAGAAATAACAAGTTACCATTAGAAAGATTACTTAGTAGTTGTGCACTTTTGGCTTTACAACTTTTAAAAATCAAAGTGCACCTACCAGTAATTCCTATCACAACATTAAGTCTCAGTTCACTGGAGCTCCTTGTTCAATGATGGAATGGTAGAGCATATTTCAGTAGAACATGGAAATTATTATGCTGAAGAAATTGTTGGCTGAGAGTTTTAAAAAGAAACTTCAGTATCACTTATAGAGCAAAGCTTATGTTTATGTTGGATCTTCTTTTAAATTGCTGCAATGGGAAGAAGATGCAAAACTAGTTAAGAAATCTGTGAGATGAGAGGAGGGAGTTAGAGCACCTCTTTCTCTTAAAATGTTTCCTGCCAAAATAATCCTTCTGCCATTTCTTCAAGTGGGAATTTGTGTAGACCCACGATCTAAACTGGAGCCAAAGATTTTCTTAAAACTTCCAGAATAGACCTAAACTGCTGTTAAAAATACTAAATTCACAGTTAGAGGAAGTGGAAGAAAACATTTCAAGAGTATTAATTTCAAACTGCCCTTTCCAGACTGAATTCAGAGTTTGGTCTCCAACATAAAGCAATTCATCCCGCTGAGTGAAGCACTGAATTACATGTCAGAATAACAATTATCCCTTGGCCTGCCTGAAAGAAGAAAGTCTTTTTTTTGGAGAGGACTTCTGTTAAAATGGCAAGCAATAGCCAAGAGAAAAGCACAGTTATGAATGATGAATTGACCAGAATTTTCTTGTGCTGAAGACACAGAAGAATATTCTGCAATTAAACCATCTAGATAGTGGCACTTGCTCTAGGGCATGCTCAGCACAGATGAGTCTCACAGCTTCCCTTTGTTGGAACTGGATTGCAGGCTACCATTTTGGGGGGGGTCCAGCCTGTCTGTCTCCCTGGCACCCCATCCTAGCTAGAGTGGTTACCCTGACAGCTGGATTGGGTAGTTGTCTGTCAGTAAAGCAACAACAATCATGTATGAAAAGAGGAGGTTGTTTTGGTGTTAGGAAATACAAGGGTATTTTCCTGCCTACATAGGCAGTGACTTTTGGCTCTCCCTCCCTTTGTGCAGGTGAGTGCTGTTGCTCTTTCTAAAATGAGCCTTCAGAATTCATCAGTGCACGTATGAACACTTGTATGAGTGGAACAGTAGAAAGAAAGAAATCTTGTCAGCTTGAAGGTCATGACATTTTTCCTGGTTTCAGCAG